AACAGGTTTTTTTGTTACCTTCGTTCGAGTTCCTCTAACATTTATTTGATCAATCATGATGTTTACTACTTTGATCTCTCCCTTAAGATATGACTTCTAAATTTTTAATTTTAGTCTTTCTGAATTTTTATTTTTAGTCTTTCTAATCTATCTTCATTAAAGAGCATGAAGTTATATATAAAGATCTATTTGTTTTTTGTTTCTAAACTAAAAGGGAACCTATTAATTCATCGATAATGTACATGTATTTTTAGTTTCTTCTATAGCGGTATAAATCATATCAAATTTTAAAGATAAACTATCACATCCCGGATTTATAAAAAGAATAATAAATTAATATTTTATTATTTATAATTTACATAATAAACTTCCTATTTTTTATTTTTGAATTGAAATCATTATCTTTATAATAATAAATATTCTATTAACTAGAAAATGATCATATTTTCTTAGTAGGGTCACAAGTTTCTTCCGCTCAAGCTTCAGATATATTACATAGTAGTAGATTACTCTGAAAATAAATATAAGATAAAAACATATCAGCAACCACACATGTTGGTAGGAACCTCAGAAAAATCATAAAAATAATTTTTAATATTCATAAAATATAAACAAATATCAATAATTCAATAAGAAAATATATCGATTTATCATAAAACTTATGCACAAGAAAGACGATGATAATTTCTTCTATAATAAATAAAATCATACAGTAGTCACATGCAACACATACATAATAACCATATAACAAAGATGTACATCGCACCCGATGGTGCACTCTCCCAATAGTGGATGAAGAGGCATACTCCACGGGATAGATTCCTCCCAATAATGGATGGAGATAATCCATATCGTACTCCCAATAGCAGATGGAGTGGTATCCCTCACCTGCCCAAGTGGGGACACGTTCCTCCCAACAGCGGATGGAGGAATCATCTAACCATCATGTCTGATGATGACCCGCTAATCCCTGAAGGGAATCGCCATACCTACCCTCGACAGGAATACATAAACATCAATGATTATTCATTTACACTCATCTATTCACTCACACATACAACAAAAATTTAATATGATTAAATATTATGAGAGACCGTACTTGATGTAAATATGCTAAACTATGTTCATTGGTGGCTCTGCACTATAATGGGCCCGTAGCTCCTTTCACTAATTGCGCTCCCAATATCAACTACTAGTCTAGTCACATCTACTATATGATACTAATTATATCAATATCATAAACATAAGAAAATAGAAAACCTATAGTCATTTTCAAATGATATCTTCAGATAAAACCTTTAAATTCATCAAATCATAAAGGCATGAAACATCAATCTCTCAATAGTCCTCAATCAACCAAAACCCTAATTTGAATAACTCGATTGACTTAAACCAAACTCAATTCTATTATGATCTAACCGAAACAACCTTAAATCCTTATAGAACCGGTCTAGAATCACCCTAGACTGGTCTAATTTAGATTTAATTGATCTCGATTAGGTCTAATAGGTTTGAACTAGTCAAGTTAGTCTGGAATCATCCTAAACTGACTTTAACTAATCAAACCTATCTGATTTAATCAATTAATGAGCTTAAACCAATAGGGAGGAAATTGGACTATGTCGTATAGTGTTAACCCAGACTGAACCAACCTACCTGAATCTTGAACGGGTCACATACACTGCATATACTTATTCCAAGTACTAGGTTGAGTTGAGGTACGACGAGCTATATAAAAGGAGTGACGATATGTCTAATGCAAATCGCGTAGCTGAGCAGGCTTAACTTCATGGACTAGGCTAAGCCTCACTTATAAGTTGGGCTAAGCCTTACCATTGAACTAGGTCATGTTTGGCTCGCAAGTTGGTCCTAGACACATGAGTTGGGGTCATATCTGATCACATGAATTGGGTTGTACTTAGCCGCATGAGTTGGCCCATGCCTGACCACATGGTTGGGTCGTACCTTACCATATGAGTTGAGTCATATATGGCCACATGGATTGGATCGTACCTAGCCACATGAGTTGGCCCATGCCTAACCACATGGGTTGGGTCATACATGGTCACATGGACTAGATCGTACCTAGCTATATGGGTTGGGTCATGTCTGACCACATGGGTTGGGTCATACCTTACCATATGAGTTAGCTCATATCCGATCACATAGGTTGGGTCATGCCAAGTCACATGGGCTAGGTTGTACTTGGTCATATGAGCTAGGTCGTACATGACCACATGGGTTGAGTCGATCCGGTCTGATAGATCAACTTGACTTAAGTCAGATCCTAATTAGACTCCTCTTATCAAATTAGATTTTAATATTTAAAATTATTAAAGAATAACTCAAATATATTAATAAAAACTTTAAATTCATAATCTTAAATTTAAAACTAATTAATTATAAAAATTCACATATAATTTTCGAAACATAGATATATCTAATTAAATAAATTAGAACTATTATGCTAATCTAAAAATAAGAATTAAATCAATATTAAATTTCACTTAAGCTTAAGAGATCAATATAAATCAAATAATTATTCTAACATCACAAAATAATTATCATTATTTACTAATCATGAATTTCGAAATTAAAACATCATTATACATAAAAAATTATAATAATCTCAACATCAAGATTTCAAAATATAAATCAAAGCTAATTAAAAAAGAAAAAATCCTACCTCTCTTTAATTATCTCTTCCTCGATATCATCTCCTCGGGAAGTCCTCTCCTCAATCCTCCCATTGTTAGACTTGGTGGAGAATGATAGAGAAGTAGTCCCTTTATGTAGGAGAAGATGAGATCTCCCTGAAAGGTAAATAATAATTTAATTTTTATTTTTAATTTATTTTTCTTTTACTTTTACACATAAAGGAAGTAATATAATATTTATTTCTTATAGTTCACACACAAAAATGAAATGTAAACTATTTCTTTCTTAAATATCAAATCACTCATTAGGAAATAAATTAATTAATAATTTAATTGGTCAGTAGAATTTCTAACTTATCCATATGATTAAAGAAACTAAATTTAATTATTTCCTTAACTATAGTACATAGATATACAAGTTAATAATAAAGCAATACATTATTTATAATAATTAATTTATAGTAATTAATAATAAAGCAATACATTGGTGATTACATAAACTTTGTAAAACCTTTTCTACTACATTTTGATCTTTTATGTTTTCATTATAAGATGCCTTGAAATTTTTACCTTGTTTGTGTCTCTAAAGACACTTTTTAATATTTTCTAAACTTTTGTTGATGTTAATGCCATCATGATTTGGGGAAATAGAGGCTTATCTATTGCTTATTGTAGCATGTAGAGGGCTCTTACTTCTTTCTTTCTATATATGAATTTGATCATTAGTAATATTAGGATCTTATAAATCATACTTAACCAAATCATCTTCTACTAAATTCATAATCCTTATAAAATAAATAAAATTTTTATATTAAAAACCTAAAATTGATAATTATAGCCTTTAAAGATCGGAAGAAGTTGATTAGAAATACATACTCGACTATAATCTTCCTTGTTTTTGTTTTTGATCTACTAGTCTTCCCTTATTTTTTAATCAATGTACTCATATTGATATTTTTCAAACCAGGCTCTAATATCACACTATTGGCTAAGAGAAGGGGAAGAGAATAAATGAGCAAAATTAGGAATGCTTTCAATTTATAGTGCTTTGAATTGACCAAGAACTCTTATTTATATTGACTAAAAGATAAAGTATAATTTTTTTAAAATAATAAAAAATCTATCATATCTCAAATAAAATTTTTCATCTTAATCTATTTATTTAAATCTAAATCTAAATCTTTTATTTTATCTAATCTTAACTATTTGAATTGGTCTTGTATACCTTTTTCACTTTCTTCATCACAACCTTTTAGAATCTTGTGCTAGAGGTTTATCAAAGAAAGCTGCTTAGCGAACTCATTGAAATCGAGGATTATAACCACGCATTCACGTACAACTCTTATCACTGTGCTTGTCGTCTATCCAACTATGAAGTCAAAAGACGCATAAAACTAAACCCTTGTTGTCGAATCCTTCTATGTTGTTTGAATCATTGCCCGAAAGCAGTAATCCATGATACAAAAGATGATCTAAAACCCAACTTAGATGTCTTAATTAATCTTGCGTGATCTGTAAAGCAGTGTTCTGGATATCTCTTACAGTATAAAATGGCTAAATAGCAGGTCAAAAGTCAAGAATTAGGTAGCCAATAACAAAAAATTTACAGATTCCAAAACTATTTTTATCAACATTGACTTGATTGATCCTTTCAATATAAAGATAATGCAAGTAATTGAATAGGGACTTCGACCTACCACCTATGAGAATTGCATATATTCATCCTTTCTAAAATTTCTTTGGAGGAATCGTTTGACATTATTTTTTTCATTTTAAAATATAATTTGAAAACCCCTTTAAATGAAGTGTTTTAGTAAATGTCACATTTTAATTATCTATATATAATAAATTTAACCACTTTTATTAAGCATTTAATTATCAGAGGTAGGCAAGTCCACGTGCAATTTGAGATATCACCTAATCTTGTTCTTGAAATCTACCTAAAGCACAAAGCGCATAAATTGGATTACGTCCGACTTTGCATCTCCGGTTGACGCGGAGTCAAAATTGTTGACTCTCACGGAACAGTCAACGTCAGTGGGGCGTGTGACAACCGCCGTCGCGTCACCTTCCCACGCGTTGTCAAGCCCACGGGAGCTTCGGCACTTCCGTTAATGAGAGAAGCTGTGATGCGTGGATCCGCGATCCCGTACCGAGCCATCAGAACCAACCACGTAGCTTAACTGCGTGGGTCTCACCGTCGCACACAGGCGGCAAAGCGTTAGGCCTGCGACCCAACGTGCAATTCCGCCGCGTGTCCTTCAACCACCTGCGGGCCCACACCCCACGACTCTTTCCCTCTAAATAGCTGCCCATCCTTCCCCTCGCTCATCGGCGCTCGATCTTCTCTTCCATCTCCTTGCAATGGTGACGGTGGAGAACTCCGATGCCGTATTCCCCGCCGGGACCGTCGAAGGGGTAGAGTTCGCGCGGCGCGTTCCACTCCCACCCCCTCGGCCATTCCTAGACACCTTGAGGGCCAACCTCAAGGAGACTCTCTTCCCCGATGATCCCTTCCAGCAATTCAAGAACGAGACGGGGTCAAGAAGGTTCCTAGTGGGATTGAAGTACTTCTTCCCGGTCTTCCAATGGGCTCCGAGATATAACCTTAGTCTCTTAAGGTCGGACCTCGTTGCGGGGTTTACGATCGCCAGCCTTGCCATACCCCAAGGGATTAGCTACGCCAAGCTCGCCAACCTGCCGCCAGTCCTAGGCCTATGTGCGTATATCTTGGTTTGGATTGAAGCTGTTGTGCGATTGACGTAAGACTCGATCATGTATGCTTGCTGTTGTTGTGCATGCAGATTCGAGCTTTGTGCCGCCGATGGTGTACGCAGTGATGGGGAGCTCGAAGGATCTCGCAGTGGGGACTGTGGCGGTGCCATCGCTGTTGATTGCGTCGATGCTGGGAAAGGACGTGCCGCCGTCGCAGAACCCGACACTGTACGTGCACTTGGTCTTCACCGCGACGTTCTTTGCTGGGGTGTTTCAAGCGTCCTTGGGGCTGTTAAGGTACATGGATTCATTTCATCTTTATGTTTTGATGTCTTTTCCTGGCATGAAGTGATCTGAAAACCAAGCCATGTTATGGATGCATGAAGAGCTCGATCGGGGGTACAGAACTAAACAGCTGCATGAAGAATTTTATGTTCTCTTTTTTCTCTCTTTTTTGCGTCTTGAAGAAAGAAGAGTTCTATATTGCTATCATGAATACGAAGATACAGACCTGAAAGGAACAGATCAGTATGCTAGTGTCGAAGTGCTTTTACATTTGTCAAAAGGAAAAAGAGTTCATGGAGGATTAATTGGAGAGACAGAAGATGTTGTCGTGGAGACCTCACAGACTAAACTGTTTCTGGAGAGGAGGTGACCACTGAGGAAGTACTTAGACATGCACGCATACATACCATTCTTTTCTTTATTATATCTCTTTAATAGTCTTTCATTTGGCTTCAATAACTTTAATCTCATCAACTTCAGGCTGGGTTTCATAGTTGACTTCTTGTCGCATGCGACCATCGTGGGATTCATGGGGGGAGCTGCCACAGTGGTGTGCCTTCAACAGCTGAAGGGGATGCTGGGCCTCCAACACTTCACCACAGCTACTGACCTTATCTCGGTGATGGAATCTGTTTTCACACAAACCCATCAGGTTCTTGATCACCTCTCTTCCTAGTGACACTGATCAATTCCAACTAAGTACAGTTCATCCGACTTTTACCGGCACATGTTTTTCTTATAACAAAGAATCTCATTTTTGTCATGCCACCACTTCAGTCTCGTGCATATTTGACCTTTGAGATTAATGGAAATCCTGCATGTCACAAGGTCTCCGACGAATGGTGATGGTTGTGGTCCCTTTTTCTTGCAGTGGAGATGGGAAAGTGTGGTTCTCGGCAGCTGCTTCCTGTTCTTCCTCCTCCTCACACGCTTTTTAGTAAGGAGTCACTCTCACATGACTGTTGACTTGCTCTCATCATTCAATGAATAGAACAAAGCTATGATGACATTATCATTCGTCCTTCCTTCCAAATCATTGGTAATATTATACTTCTATTTCTTTGTTTAACTGTTCAAATATTTTTGCTGTGATCAGAGCAAAAAAGGCCCCAAATTCTTCTGGATCTCCGCAGCAGCTCCATTGACATCGGTGATACTGGGGAGCCTCGTGGTGTACCTCACCCATGCAGAAAACCACGGTGTGCAAGTGGTGAGTTCTCAGTCCCTCTCCTCGAAACGACAGCCACTAGATATAGATCATCCTGAACTCAATCTGGGTCGTCATCTTGAAGATTGGCTACTTGAAGAAGGGTCTGAATCCACCATCACTGAGCAATCTGGTTCTCTCAGCACCGCACATGATGGTAGCACTCAAGACTGGCATCATCACCGGGATCATCGCCCTTGCGGTATATACTTCCTCATGATGCATAACATACCATCAAATTTGGTGGAGAAAAATGACTTTGATGTGCACTGCAGGAGGGGATCGCTGTGGGGAGGAGTTTTGCCATGTTCAAGAACTACCATATAGATGGCAACAAAGAGATGATCGCCTTTGGGACGATGAACATCGCCGGATCTTTGACATCCTGCTACCTGACCACCGGTGCGTTTCTCTGCAGGCATTCAAGTTTTCTAGCTAGCTACTGTTTAGGAGTTGTGATCCCAATGCTTTGTACGATCAGGGCCGTTCTCGAGGTCGGCGGTGAACTACAACGCCGGCTGCAAGACGGCGCTCTCCAACGTGGTGATGGCGGTGACGGTGATGGTCACTTTGCTGTTCTTGACGCCCTTGTTCCACTACACTCCTCTGGTGGTGCTCTCCGCCATCATCATATCTGCCATCGCCGGCCTTATCGACTACGAGGCGGCGCTGCACCTGTGGCAGGTCGACAAGATCGACTTCTGCGTCTGCATGGGTGCATACTTGGGCGTCGTCTTCGGCAGCATCGAGATCGGGCTGGTCATTGCCGTACGTTCTGCGTCGCAATCTATACTGAGACGACATCAGGACAAGCATAAGCTAACTGCATTAGACGCTGTTGCAGGTGGCGGTCTCCATGCTTAGGATTCTACTCTTTGTGGCGCGGCCGAGGACCACCGTCCTCGGAAACATCCCCAACTCGTCGACCTACCGGCGCATGGATCAGTATTCGGCGGCGCAGAGCGTTCCCGGAGTGCTCATTATCCGAATCGACGCTCCGATCTACTTTGCCAATGTGAGCTACTTGAGAGAGAGGTAAGGCATGCATAAATCTCATGTCCTGTAGTGATTGAATTATCTGATGGATATGGTTTTCATTGATTAGGATAACAAGGTGGACCAACGAAGAGGAGGACATGCTAAAATCCAAGGCAGAGACCAGCTTACATTACGTGATACTAGATATGGGAGGCAAGTGTTTCCTCTTCTTCTCGCTTTCCTGAGATTCGTGATGAATCGATCCAGTTTTGCTTGACATGTCACGACACTCCTCATCTGCGGCAGCTGTGGGTAGCATCGACTCAAGTGGGACTGGCATGCTGAAGGAGGTCAAGGAGAGTTTGGGCAGAAGGGGCCTTCAGGTACTGAGCTCTCTGGTGGCTCGATCAAGCAGGATGCTTAATCCTGATGCATTTATGTGACCCGGATTTCACCTTGATGCTTTGATGATTATCCATCAGCTGGTGCTGGCAAACCCTGGAAGCGAGGCGATGAAGAAGATGGATAAGTCGAAGGTGCTCGAAACCATCGGTCAAGAGTGGATCTTCCTCACCGTGGGCGAGGCAGCTGCTGCGTGCAACTTTATGCTCTGCACATGCAAGTCCGGCATGGTCGATGAGGCAGAGCGCGAAAACATCGTCTGAGAGCGTGGATGGAATATATATATATATATATATTTGTGTGTGTGTGTGTATGGAAACCAAAATTTAAGTGATGGTTTCGTGCGCCAAAAAAGGCAAAATGTTGGCAAGAACACGAAGCTCTGTTTACTCCTGCTTTCTTGTTCATGCTTTATGTTTTCGGAGGAACATTACTGAATTATCACTGAATTGTATCAGAAATGTTGTCTGTCAATCTCCTTGGGCCTCATTTTCTAATGGAAGAAGACTCCTGCCACCGCTAGGAGATTTTATGTGATAACAGCTAAGATTTCAAAATCTCACTGCTCTATTAAAAAAAATCTTTTCTCATAGCTTGTACAAATGGGGAGCATATATCAAACACAAAAAATATTTTCTTCATGTTTCGTTCTTTCATGGGATCATAGCCTCTCTTGCCTTAGCAAGATTTCCTCTTCCTTCCTTTCTATCCTCGCTATCTAGTGACAACGATTACTCGTTGCATGCTGCTAAAGAGTGAACCCTATTAGGAATGAGTTGACACTAAGAGGGGAGGGGGGGAGGTGTGTGAATTAGTGCAGCGGTAAAAACTTCGATTCGAAAATCTTTTGTTTCGATTAAACTCGTTTCGGAAAGATCTTAATTTAAAAGCGCATGAGACCATAGTGAAAATAATAAGAAGGTAAAACAATTTGTAGTAAAGGTAAATTACTCAAAAGAAAATATAAACCGATTTTATAGTGGTTTGATCATCGTGACCTACATCCACTCTCGATTCCTCTTCACTCGAGGCCACCAGCTTCCACTACCGATCTTCCTTCAATGGGCAAAGGCCAACTACTCTTTTACACCCCTCTTCTCCTTTTCACAGGGTTAGGAGATAACCTTTTACAAGTACTCACTCCTCTCTAAACAGAATTCTAAACTTAGAATTAGAGGAGGGGATCTCTCAAGTGATTACTACAACGTTTTTCCACTTTTAAATTCTCTGTGCTTGTGTTTGTTAACCAAGGATGAGAGATATATTTATAAGCTTTAAGTAGATTCAAACTTAGAGCCTAAAAATGTCTCATCCTTGGTTTTCGGGGTACTGGCGGTACCATCGCCAGTGCTGGGCAGTACCACCGCTTGCAGCACTAATATTGGGCGGTACCACTGCTTGACACCCTGGGTGGTACCACTGCCTGATAATCTCTCGGAGATTGTGTCTGGACGGTACTACCACTTAGACTAGTGGTACCACCGCTTGACACAATCTCGGAGACTGTACCACGACGATGCCACTTGTTGGGTCATTATTTGGACCTTTTACTTAGCCCAACACAGTACAAACTTGGGCCTAATTGACCACTAATTGAGTTGACTCAATTTCAACCCAATTATATGTTAACTATGAATTTTAAGATATTCACTAAGCTAAATAAGTCCGTAAGTCTAGGTTTCTTCCGGCGAGCTTCCAACGATCTTCCGGTGAACTTCCGACGATCTCTCGGTAATGTTCCAACGGACTCCCGGCAAGCTCCTGGACTTCATGATGATTTTCTTAGCGAGTTCTGATGAGCTTCTTTGGCAAGCTCTTGGACTTCTCGATCAATTCCGGCAGAACTTCCGACGAACTCTCGAACTCCCAATGAAATTTCGTTCTTGACTCTGGGACTTCATTTTGCTTTATGCCTTGATCGCTATCGTAGTTAATCCCGCACACTTAAAACCTACTTCAATCTAGATAATTATTATAAAGCTAATCAAATATTGTCCGGCATGTCATTGGTTCATCGACGCTTCATTCGAATCTTCGGCGCATCGTCCTCTCTTGTGGCTTATTGCCCAATTGGCCAATTGACCTCTGCAACTCCGATTTCCTTAGCACAATTTTCGCTCTTCTTAGCCCGATGCCCGAACCTATGGCCCGAAGCCTTTTATCGATACGTCGATCGATCCTTCGACTCGATGTCTAATCTTCTGACAGGTTTCTCTCCGTTCTAATATGATTTTTCCTACTTTAATTATCTCACTCTGATCGAAGTTTCCTATGTCACTCAAAATACAGATTAAATTACAAACGCTCTCAATTGGTTTCATCATCAAAATTTAAGATTCAACAATCTCTCCCTTTTTATGATGACAACCAATTGAGAATAGAGTTAACCTTAACTCTCCCTATCAATATGACATATTGATAGAACATTGAATTCAAGTTGAATTCAAGTTAAAGCAAATTTTAATCATGAATATTTACAACACGTCATCATAAAATCATACATAATCAAAATTTCAATACATCATTCCATGCATAATCATTATTATAACTTCTCCCCCTTTATCATCAACAAAAAGGAGAATGCATTTAGCAAGTTTCAAATCTCAAGTTTTATCATCATGCAAGCTAGCAATAATTTTGAGTTTTGTAAGTTTGTAAATTTTGTTAGATGTGCAAGTTAGCATGTTTTGCTTCTTGAGATAGACAAGATAGCACTTTTGCTTCTCTTGAGATTGCAAGCTAGCAATTCTTGGTGATGTTCAAGATAGCAAGTTCTACATCATGCAAGCTAGTGAATTTTACATTTTAGAACATGTAAGCTGGCAATTTTGAGATATTTAAGAAAGCAACTTTTGCTTCTTGAAATATGCAAGTTAGTAATCTTTGGTTCTCTTTTGAGATGAGCAAGCTAGCATGTTTTGCTCTCTTTGCAATGTGCAAGCTAACAAGTTTTAGCTTCTTCTTGTATATATCGTCATGCAAGTTAGCAGATTTTATCTCCCCAAAAGAAGGGAAGAATATAATTTTATAATTCCTTTTCCCTTTACAATAATTTTCAAAGCATGACAAAGATAAATAACAAATTTATATCAATATTCCAATCATAAAAAATGAAAGATTAAGTCATGATTTTTGACATATATCTTCTTTTATATATAGAAGGAATGATAGGGAAATGATTTTGATTCAAAAAGAAGATTCAAGTCTAAAAATCGAGAAATCAAGATCATCATCCGAAAAATGTATACGAAAAATTTATATATTTGGGAGATCTAATATGTCTAAGTTTATCATTCTATCAAATTTGGTTCTCTTGAGATACTAGCTATTTTCTTTCCCTCTTTGGTCATTATAAACAAGAAAGAAGAAGGAAAGAATATAATAGTGTAAATGTTCAAGTTATCACAAAAAAATTAATTTGGTAATGAGAAATACAAAGGAATATTAATAAATCATCACATGAAAGATATTAATATCAAATCATGAATGCCACAAGATATGATTTATTTCAACAAATCTCTTCTTTTATAAATAGCAAAAAGAAACATAGGAGATCAATTGATATAATATCTTGATTAATGCAAAAGAAATCTCAAGTTATAAATCTCGAAAAATCAAGATAAAGTTCATTCATATTCAAATCATCAAATCAAAATTATTTTCAAGAGATTCATAAAAAAGACATAGATAGATTCATTAATCTCTCCTTTTTGAAAAATCGATAAAGTAGAGAAAATTTTTTTTTCAAGAAGAAAGCTTTCCTTTTTTAGTGTTTCAATTCATATAATTGATTTCATATAAGCATACCCCAAATTTTTATACCAAATAAAAATAAGAATCAACGTTTAAAACTAAAAAAGAACTTTCAATCAATAATCCATAAATCACAAGATTCATCATGCATAATTTTGAAATATAAACTCATTAAGTATAATCATTATGCATTATTACTTTGGGCATGATACCAAAACATGGTTTTACTTTTTCAAGGTATAACATGCATAATTTCAAACTATAAACTCATTAAGCGTGATATCAAACATCTTAACATTTTCATTAAAACATCAGTTTCATTGAACATAAGGCATCTTTAATTAAAATCGAAAAGCAATATGGAAATCAACATAATACACATTATTACTTCTTAAAAACATACATAAGATTAATCTTATTAGATATGTAAGTATTACAAAACATGCAATTGTCATGATCAAAATAATATATATGTATATATATTTAAAACTAATCATGAAAAGCACTAAGTAATTTCATGGTAAGGAAAAAGAGATTCGATTGAGTCGCTTACCTTGTTGACGAAAGCCGTCAAAGTGCAGTTCACCACCTTGCCCTTATTGGTTTGCTCATCGTCTTCCGATGAGCTTGATTCATCCCAAGCCGCATTGAATGTTTTCATGAACTTTTTAAATTTTATAGTGAGAATTTCAAAGTCATCATCATCATCACTTGAGTTATCACTCAAGTGGTATTCTAGTGTTCGAAGTGCCAAATCCTTCCTGTTCTTTAGAATATTATTCTCATGTTCATTTTATTTTATATAAGTCATTTCATAAGTCATCAAAGACCCAATAAATTCTTCAATCGAAAAATAGTTCAAGTCCTTTGATTCTTGTATTGCCGTTACTTTCGAATCCCAATTTTTAGAAAGTGATCGTAAAACTTTATTCATAAGTTCAAGATTTGAAAAACTTTTACCACGAGTTTTTAGACTATTGATGACATCCATAAAATGGGTGTACATGTCTCCAATAGTCTCACTTGATTCCATATGAAATAATTCAAAATCATACATCAAAATATTTATTTTAGAGTCTTTAACTCTATTAGTGCCTTCGCATGTAATTTCGAGTGTGTGCCATGTTGAATCTCAGATTTTGATGATGAAACTAATTGATTGTATTTAGATGTTTAACTGCATTTTGAGTGATGCAGGTCTACTCGATCAGGATTAGACAGTTGACGCAGGAGGAATTAACGTTGCGCTGGAGGAGATCACGTCAGGATATTGGACGGTAGAAGGCTTCGGACGTCGGGCATCGGGCCAAGGAGAATGAAATTGCGCCAAGGATATCGGGGTTGCGGAGGTCAACCGCCGATTGGGCAACAACCCTCAAGAGAGGACGATGTGCTGAAGAATCGGATGAAGCGCCAACTAATGACGTGCCGGGCAACAGAATGTCAATTCGCATTGTAATAATTGTCTAGATCGGAGTAGAGTTTTTGCTTGTGTGTGCAAGATTAACTACGATAACGATGGAGACATAAAGCGAAACAAAGTATCGAAGTCAAGCGCCAAGGATTTGTTGCAAGTTCGCGAGTTCGACGGAAGTCCGAAGGTTCATCGGGAATGCTGCTGGAACTAGCCAAGAATGAGTAGGGAGATTGCCGAAGGGTTTTTCGGAAGCTTGCTGGAAGGTGTTGAATCT